GGAAGAAAGGTCTACTGTAGGTTGCTATCAGACTCTGCCACCCTTCTGGGCGGCGCTTTCTTCGGTTTGGTCGTTGAGGCGAACAAAACACCGCATGCGTCGTCGCGTTTTCGTCCGATGACGCGTCGAAGCGCATCGAAAGATGCATCCATCGATCCTCTGCAAAAGCATTCTTGTTCCTAGTAGCATTCTTGTTTCTAATAGCTTCTTGTTACTACTAGTAAGGCACTTGTTACTAGAAGCGATGCACTTGTTCCTAGTAGCTTCTTGCTCCTAGTAGCACGGCCAGGAGCGCCTAGTAGCGTCCTTGCTCCTAGTAGCGATGCCAGGAGCCCCTAGTAGCTTCTTGTTCCTAGTAGCTACTTGCTCCTAGCAATTCGGAGAATCGGTCCTCCTTTTTGGAACATCCGAAGTCGCTCAATTTCACCTTGGTGTAGACATAAACAACTTGAAATCGACGGGGTTACCTTGCTCTTCTTACTTCACTTTGTCCTCTCTATCCATCTATGAACACTGAGCTGTGCACGTTGAAGCTGAGGTCCACTAGGATGTTTGCACCCTTAATGTCTCCTTGGACGAACCGCACCGAGCAACGCACAAAGGTAAGGAAACCAGAGCTCAGCCGTGCCACAGCTTCGCTGATGGCTTGCACCCGGCTCTCAACTTTGAACATTCCATTGACGAGCACTTTCTACTTTGACAATCTTTGTCTTCGTCGTCCAAACATCTGGGGCAAGCAACGGGATCAACGTGAAATGTCCAATCTATTCAGTCTTTGGCATCTCTGGGGCTTCAACCCTTGAATGGAGTTGCCACATCGACGCAGAAACGCTTGCCCACTTGTTGATGTGGCCGTCATTTTCGACGGTGGCTGGTGAATACTCCGATTTGCTTAGTGGTTTCATGCGCATGAATGCCGAAAGACCATACATGCCGGTTTAAACAATAACAGCCCAGGCACGATGTACCACAGGTGGATCTCGTGTGTGGAGGTAGTTCAGGCCCTCCAAGACACCTTCGCTGCACTGTTTGAGCAGCCGCCCCTCCTCGGATCGCTCCACCGTTCACCGTGAAGGCTCTTTTTCGTATCGTTGCAACCTAACAGAAATGCCCTTTGCTACTAGTAGCTTCTTGCTCCTAGTAGTAAGGCCAGGAGCTCCTAGTAGCGTCCTTGCTCCTAGTAGCGATGCCCTTGTTACTAGTAGCAATGGCTTCCAACCTAAGAGTGCCAAGGGACTAAGGGACCGAACTCTTTTAATAAAGTGCTCATGGAACCGCCTGGTACCTCAGCACGAGAAAATCACGACCCAACTTGCTCTTGGTAGAACACATGCACTTCAGTCACTTGGGACTACTCTCCATCTCACTCTGTTCTTCCAAATCTTCCAGATCACACACGTCTGAAAAGCACATGAATTGAATGAAATGGAGCTCCAAGACACGTATTCCAAGTAGATGTAAAAACTATCTCTGCTGCATTCAAACCCCAAGCAGGCCACAATGTTGGGATGCCTCAGGTCCTCAGCCATGTCAGAGAGCCAGGAAGAAAATCATCGAAGATACCTCACAAATCCACCTAATAGCAATGGCCTCCAGCCTAGAAGCGATAGCCAACAAATTACCCCGTTTCAAGCGAGCCAGCTTTGTTCTTTCTGTCCGTATCTCTCTCAGTCGCGCAAAAGTCTCTCTCTCTATCTTTCATGTTGGCAATTCTCTTTGAATGTGTCTTTCTCCGACATTTCGTTCTCTACGCCCTCTCCTTGCAAATTCGCAGTTCCTCTTCCAAGCGTTCCCTGCGGCACTCAGGAAGGATATGGATATGAAGGAATCCCAAAATTTGATAGTCCAAAAGGCCAGTCTAATGACATAGTCTATCGTGCACTTTGCATGTGAAAAGAGGGCAACGGCAGTAGTAAGTGTTCCTGATAGCAACATGTTCAGCTTCAAAACTTCTGGCACACAGCAGGAAGGCTCTAAAGTACACTCTACTTCTTGTGACCCATGCTGGAATGGTAGGATCAGGTTTCGCATGTGTGCCGATGGGATACACAAGCATGGTGTTTTGAAATCTGTATGTCTGTTCCAAAACATAAAAGTTTAAGCATTATCGTATTACCCTCGGAAAAAAGAAACACACAACTGAGTAATATTGATATTGTTGTATCATAGTCAAAAACAACGACTGACATTTAACATTGACTCATCAGATCCATGCTACTAGGGGCTCCTGGCCTTACTACTAGGAGCAAGAACGCTACTAGGGGCTCCTGGCATCGCTAGTAGGAGCAAGAACACTTCTGAACTCTTGTCTACGTCTGAGCTCCGCCTGAACTTCTCGTCCGCCTCCCCACCCCAAGGCGATTGCTTCACGGCAAAGATGCGCCCCGTCGAGCGTTCCAGGGCTTTGAAGACCTCGGGAGCCGCGGGTTTCGGCGGAACCAAAGTTGAGTTTCCCTAGGCATTGCTACTAGTTATAAGGGCATTACTACTAGTAGCTAGAAGCTACTAGTAACAAGGGCATCGCTATTAGTGAAGTTTCCCTAAGAATCTAGGAATCCAATCAGTACGAGCGCTTCTTCAAGGAAGCTTCCGGGTGGAGCTTCCTTGAAGAAGTGTGAGCTATCCCTGCGTCCTAGGTGGTAGCGTACTAGTAGCTAGTAGCTACCTCTCCCTTACTTAATTGAGTTGACGCCTACTTGATTAAGTGAGGGCGGGCTTAAAACACTATCAAAACAAAAAGAACAGCGCGTAGCAGCGCTACAAGGTGGACATGTCAATCACACACTGCGAAGCCAGGGGAGATCTAGATGATGTCCAAGTCGCACAGGCATGTGCCCCTTGTCCAATGGAACTTCCTCGAACCCACCCAAAGCTGCCAATGGGTATCGCCAGTGGATGCATGTTCACGACCTGAACAGTTGCACCAATACAACTTGCATTAACTTTGTAAGATGTACCCAAGCAGAAAGCTGAACCTATCTGAACCTTTCCATGAGGAACTCTGGAATGGGTGTCCTTCTGCAAACTGCACATCTTCTCCAATAGCTCCGTACCTCGTCCGAACCCACCGATGTGGAGCTGGAGCAACGTGAGCCTGGTCGCCCGTCGGTCGGAGGTCGACAGTCGGTTTTGGGCGTTGGCCTCGCGACAGCCGATCCGAGGAGGTTCGGTGAGGTAGACCTGCGCCGCAGCCGCAGGAGCAAAGGGCATCGCTACTAGTAGCTCCTGGCATTACTAGGAACAAGAAGCTATTAGAAACAAGTGCATCGCTTCTAGTAACAAGTGCCTTACTAGTAGTAACAAGAAGCTATTAGAAACAAGAAATATAATTAAACGTAATTAGAATTGAATTAGAATTAGAAGCAAAGGAAGCTACTAGAAGCTTTTTCGCGCGCGCGGTAGAGGAAGCTACTAGGAGCAAAGGGCATTGCTACTAGGAGCAGGAATATAACGCTACTAGGGGCTCCTGGCATTACTAGTAGTAACAAGAACGCTACTAGGTTGAAGGCCAAAACCATTGGTTTCTGACCCCTTCGTTGTTTTTCTTCATTTATATAACGGTTTTAACGGATCCCCGGAGACGATCTGCTGCATGAAGGCTCCGGATTTTTTTGGACCACGTCTGTCGAGGTTGAGGAAAATGGGAACGTCCCCACCAGCGGTGGCCAGCCGCACCTCCCGTAGAGACTTGGCGCTTCTTACCTGGATGGTGAGCATCGAAAAGCTGGAGCTATCTTCTCCTTTCCGCTGTGCTGCTGCGCTCTTCAGATTCTCTTCTTCTCCTTTTGGGTTGGAGGCTATCCCTCTTAGGTGGGAGGCCATCGCTACTAGTAGCAAAGGGCATCGCTTCTAGGAGCAAGAACGCTAATAGGTTGCAGGCCTTTCTCTTCTTCCTTCCTTTGGGTCCTGAGACCCCCGACGCTTGGGCGGCGCTGAGGCGGGAGCCGCCGGCACATCCAGAGAGCCCATGGCCTGCGGCGTTCGTTGGGCTGAGTAACTCCTGGCCTTACGACTAGTAACAAGAGGACGCTACTAGGAACAAAGGGCATCGCTACTAGGAACAAGGACGCTACTAGGGGCTCCTGGCATCGCTACTAGGAGCAAGAAGCTACTAGGAACAAGTGCATCGCTTCTAGGAGCAAGAAGCTACTATAGGATACTATAGGTAAATAAAAAATCCCAAAAGCGCCAAAGGCAAAGCGCCGAAAGGCTTACAAACCGCGTGGAACCGCAGTTGAACCTCCGGGGAAAAAAAATACAAACGGTCCGCGTCCACCGGCTCTGGGGTCCCAAAACGTCTCATGACACGACATGCGACACACGAGGCAAGAAAGACTGAACTTTGCCTAAACCACAACTGCTAAGTTTGTAGAAGAAAAGGTAGATTGGGGGGTGAGTAAATACAATCCTAGGAGCAAGGACACTACTAGGGGCTCCTGGCCTTACTACTAGGAGCAAGGACGCTAGTAGGAGCAAATACAATCCTATCAACATCTGCATCCGAAACATCCAACTTGCCTCACCCTCACGACTTACTGGCGCACTCCAGCGGCCATCCTGGAGGTTTCCCCCAAAATCTTCTCTCGCTGGAGATTGTTCCGAACAACACAAGACAACGCAGTGGTTCACAAAAAAGAAAAGGTCAAACTCTGGAGATTCAGCTCTATAGTCTACAAGGACAACGTCTCACAATCGGTGCTCTGCCATCAAAGTTTGCTCGGGAGTCACAAAAAAGTGCACAAATGAATCCAATTTGGATGGAATTCATGCATGCATCATTTTGTGGGGCAGCTAGAGCCACTTAATAAAGTTCCAATGCATGCCAATAGTATTTTTGGGTCGGCTCTATTGGTTTCCTACTATCAATCCAGGAAGGTTATCAGTATCGGGGTTGGCCTCTATCAGAAATACTAGAAACGGCCTCCAACCTACTAGCGATGGCCTCCAACCTCAGAGCAATGGCCTCCAACCTAGTACTTAAGGCAGCTCATTCCTGAAGTTTTCTCAGATGCTCAGGTCTATCTGCGTGTCACATCGATCGGTCCCGAAGTCGTTCCAAGGGCGGCAAGCGCATGGCATTTTGCCGGGCCAGACTTAGCTCCGTGAAGGGCGAGGACAAACCATCCAGACATGGCACCTGCGCGAAGCGCGGACACTGCGTTTTGCATCTGCTCCTAGTAGCGATGCCCTTCGCTCCTAGTAGCGTCGCTCCTAGTAGAAAGGTAATAAATCAGGGAATATCTTGAAACATTTAGACTATCTCAAAGTCAAGAGACATGTTCTCTAAGGTACGAGTATCATGGCTTTCAAATCTAGAAGTCCAAACATGCGAAGCTCTGGGTTGCCCCACCCGTCTCTCCCTTGTTGGTGAAGCCAACGGTGGACGACGAGAGGGGGAGGAGGACCTTGGAGTGATCGAATTGATGAATCAATCGCGAGACCAGCTGAACAAACTTTATTGCTGACTGTTGACATCGTCTTAAACACAAATATGTTTCAAGATGGTCGTTCACATTTCCAAGCTAGTTTGTTTACTAATCAACAGTCAATAGTATCTAATCTTCAATTGAAGCATGAAACTCATCATGCAATTGCAACATTGCTTCACCATGATCTGATCTCACTCTGGTTCATTCAAGAGTTGTCCTTTCTTAAAACCGTGCTTCCTCCTCTTCTTATGCATTTGAGGAGCAAATCTGAGGCTATGCTGGGCGTAGAGTGTGCCCGGTTCATCGATTCAAAGGTGCACCGCTCGAAGCTTCGGGAAAGCCCGTTTCGAGGGACTTCGAGCGCTGCGCTTTGGACGGACGGCACACGCCCTCTGCGCTTTGGAAAAAGCTGCTCTGCGCGCTCTGGCGCAAGACCACGCGCGGCTACCTGCCGGCCGTGTCGGTGAAACGAGATGGTCCCCATTTATCGAGATGTCCCTCCTGGCCTTCGGTAAGGCCGCGTGCGGAGTGGAGTCTTGAGCCAAAATTAAGAAAACATTTATGGTGTCTTCCCGATGCGTCCAAGAATGGCTTCAACCACAAGCTCGCAAAAGGATTGAATGTGAGAGAGAGACCTTTGGCCAATAGTTGTGGTCTCCTGTCCATTGACATGAGGTCAATAGAAACCTTTCCACATTTCACTTGCATCACGTGCCTCCTTGGATATCTCTTTCTGCACCTCCTGGCGTCGGTTTCGCAAGCTGCGGAATTTCGCATCGGATCTCGGGTGAATTCCCATCTCAAGCCATTGGTGTCCAGATCCATCTCGTCTTCTATCCGGAACAAGAAGCTACTCTCCCTTCAACGTTTCTTATGCTCTTCCTCAGATCTTCGCCCCTTTTGGCCTAACTGGCGACAAGCTGCACATGTCTCTCTGATCCATCACTTTCAAGGACATCCCCCAAATGATTCACATTCAGGTAGACATCCGTGCCGAAGCCATGCATGCTCTGCACATGGATGTCCCCGCCAAAGTACCTGCACGACGGACAGCTGCACATTTGCAAGCTCTACTCCAGTACTTCGAGTGGGTCAAACGCCCCAAGACAACAAGACCTTGAAAGAAAGAGAACAACAAACTTTCTTGAAAGACGAAGGTAGACCTTTCTTCTTACAGAGACTATACGCAGTAGCTCAGATTTGGTTCTACTCAAGGTGGGTTTGTTTTGAACTAGCAGGACCTTGGACATGTATGACATAGACTCAGGCAAAGTATATGACCAAACCAAATAATTCAAAAATATGTGTACAGAGGAGCAAGGACGCTACTAGGAGCAAAGGGCATCGCTAAGGAGCAAGGACGCTACTAGGGGCTCCTGGCCTTACTACTAGGAACAAGAAGCTACTAGTAACAAGTGCATCGCTTCTAGTAACAAGTGCCTTACTAGTAGGAGCAAGGTTCGCTACTAGGAACAAGGACGCTACTAGGAACAAATAATTCAAAGTCTTTGGGACAAAGAGCTGAATGAGAAAGAAAAAGAATCCGACAAGTTGCTAAAGTCACTTATCAACGAACCACCATTCCGAACCATCCACCTGCTCCTTCCTCCCATTGTCTGGGAGGCCATCGCTACTAGGTTGGAGGCCATTGCACTTAGGTTCCTTTTGCTACTAGTAGCGTCCTTGCTCCTAGGTTGGAGGCCATCTCTCCAAGTTCTGGGACGAGTGACTGGGCGTAGACGCGGCTCAGCGGCAGGCCGAAGCCGTAGCCAGCGAGCTGCCGCATGGATGCCGCGTCGCGCCCGCAGAGCAGCTGGAAATCGTCCTGCAATGCCGATTTAGGACTCAACGAGTTGAACTGAAGAAGCTACGTTATTAGTGGCTCCTGGCCGTACTACTAGGAGCAAGAAGCTGCTAGGAGCAAACGGCATCGCTACTAGGAGCAAGAAGCTATTAGCTTATTGTTTCTACTAGCAAACATTGCTCCTACTAGTAAGGCACTTGTTACTACTAGCGATGCACCTGTTACTAATAGCTTCTTGTTACTAGGTTGGAGTGTCGGTTTTCGAAACATCCCAAAACGGTGAATCGGCTTGTCGGCGCCAGCATCCCAAATCCTATACCCAAACGTCCATGGGGATCCGGCGCCACCCTGCAACCGGTTGTCTGGAGCTTTTCAACCGGTTGTTGCATCCTTGCTCCTCCCACAAATTCTTTGACGGCAACATCAGGGGTACTTCAAACCATAGGTTTCCTGTAGATTTTCCCTTAGCCAATCCATTGAGTATAGTAATGTAAATGTATATATAGAGATACTGAGATACTGTATAACAAATATATATATATATATATTCACAGGTCACCTGAGGTTCCATTAATCCAAAAAGATAGGTTCTCTTTTTTTCGGGCAAACAACGCGACAAACACAAGATGTTGGCTGTGAAACCGAGGTTTCCTGATAGCCTGTTGGTTGACCTGCCTTGGGCATGCGGGAAGCTGAAGTGACCAAAAAGTGTTCCGACAAACTGAGTGCTCCAAAACCCAATTTGGAAAACGCAACGAAACTGTGATAAAACACGACCAAGATGAACATTTTGGGCTAACCCTCACAGCACTTTGTAGCAACGTAAACATGGACATGACATGTAAGACTAAGCTCGCGTTTGGATGCGTTCAACGAAACAACATGTCAACAAAAACCACCGAACACATGCAGCCTCTGGCGCCAGTGTCGGTGTTTTTGGAAGAGATAAAACCAATGGTTGGGTAAGAAAAAACGAAATTGCCTTCGGAAATTGTAGTCTTTCTTTCAGGACCCTGCAATGAAGACTACCATGATCTTTCAAACGAACAACGAAATTGGTTGATGCCCCTAATGGAAGCAATCGACTACCAAATGTCGATGTTAGGTTGGAGGCCATCGCTTTTAGGTTGTTTCGACAACACTTCGTCTGCCCCATTACGACAACGGCAAATGCTCCTTTGGCTGGACGTCCACAGATGGCTTGGTGGCACAGGAATGGCCGTAACCTGAATGCACGATACTTATTCCGCGAAAAGTACATTTCTGAAGCTTTTCTAGAGATCTCCCAAAGTACAAAAACAACTTGCAATTCATTACGTTTTTATCTATACTTGAGAAGCACTGTACCGATATTCAAGTCACTATCTTGCTCCTGTTCTGGGGATGTTCTTCTTGGGGTTTTGTCTCTCTGTTGCTGCTCCCGAACCAAATGTTGCCTGCCTGGCCTGGGAAACTCCTTCACTCAGTCTTAACTTAACTTCTTAACTTGCCGATACTTTCATCTACCTGAAGGACGCTACTAGGGGCTCCTGGCCTTACTACTTGTAACTATCACCGTGAAACGGTGTCCGACTTGTGCTAGACACACCGATCTATGCACAAAAGAAAGGCCCCAAACATGCAACACCAATCAAATCACGGAGAACGGGGGGCGCCACTGTTCGTCTGACCGACCGGCTACTAGGAGCAAAGGGCATCGCTACTAGGAGCAAGGATGCTACTAGGGGCTCCTGTGTTTTGATGCTTGGTGATCCGGGTTGATCCGCTTTCCGGCACTTTCCCATCGCGAAGTGTCTCCGGTGCAGCACAGACCGGTTCTTTTCGCATCGCTCCGAGATCATAGCTCGCTTTGACTTTTTTCCGTCACGGTTTTTGCGAACCATGTTTTGTGCGAGGTGGGACATCTCCTCCATGGAATGAGAACTGGTTTTCAGAGGATCAAGAGAGTTAAACATTCAAGGCAATTTGGAATCGCCACCTCTCACAAACCTATCTCTGAACCAAATCCGCCGGGAAGCGCCAAGCTTGTCGTAGTTCCTCTGGCCGCATGCCGCCGCCTACAGATGTCCGATCGCTTCCGAAATCTGCTGAACGCCGTGGAGTTGCTTAGGGGTGCACTTAATTCGGGAATGTCTTCCGTTTTCAAATCCTTGGGGCTCACAACTCGCTGCTATTTACAGCAACCTGGCGGAGTGAGCGGCTGAGCTTTAACAAAAAACAATTTAGGCAGCAGGGCTACCACTCAAAAGAAACAGCTGTCGTACCAGGCAAAGGAGATTGGAAGTGGCTGGTGCAGTGGAGTGTGGTCGAGATTTAAATATAACGCTGTTATCGTGGTGCTGGGCGTGGTTGGATGTTTCTGTGAGCGGCTTTGTGTCATGGCTTTATGATGTTTGGCTCGCACCTCACTTGTGCCAACTTGACTATGAAGCGACCATGTCGAAAACATCACTTGCGCACTCAAAACTTAAGTCACTTGCGCCTTGGAATGGTTTGTGCCTCCCATAAATTTTACGTTCAGGTGGCTCACAAAAGGTCTGCTACCTTGGAATGACTCCTTCCTCCTCTAAAATTTACCCTCGGGTGGCTCACTAGAGGTCTGCTACCTTGGAATGGCTCGTCGCTCTCAGCTAAGTGTTGGCTTTAATGCATCTTGCAAGTACCACATGTAAGCAGTGCTGTACTCCAATGTCTTTTCCCACCAATAGCGCAAACCAAAACAACCATGACATACATATTCGCAAAGCGCATTGACGATCCTCTGTCTAATATGCGTTTGTGTTAAATACATATACATATGTGAAACATTATGCCACACGAGTGTGTGCAAGTAGCGCAGTAGTGCAACAGCAACAAGCGTAGCACAGTGGACCAAACAGCAACAAAAATCAACAGAAGCAACAAGAGCAAAAAGCTGCGAGAGCAGCAAAGCAACCAAAGCAACAAAAAAGAAACGAGCCGAGTAAAAAGAATGTAAAAACCGAGGCAACCACCAAAGCAACAAATCAATCAGCAAAAGCACAGAAACAGGAAAAGCAAAAGCATAGCAGGCATAGCAAAAAAACAGCAACAAAAAAATATCAGATAAAGCAACAAAAAGGAAAAAAAACTATCAAAAGCGCCAAAAGGAGCAAAGGGAGCAAAAGCCGAAAAGCAAAGAAAACAAAGCAAAGCAGCAACAGCAGGTAAAAAAAATCATACGACGCAGAAAAAACAGCCAAAGCAGGATGTGGAAAGAAATCACGAAAACAAGTGGAACACAACTAAAAGATATACCTCCGTTGCTTAGCCATGCCATTGATTCCGGTGGCCCAACATCGCAAATTGTTTGAACTCAGGAGCTCTCTTTGAGGACCTTTTTGCGGAGACTGACGCTGTTGGGAAAAGGTCCCTCCCAACCTGCCTCGATCAGAGACTTTTATGGTGACATCAAAGATGCCTTTGAGCACCTCCACGGTCACCTAAAAGCTACCGAAACGACAGAACCGTGGATTTCAGAGACATGTCTGCTCAATCGTATAGACCGAATGCCTCACCGCCATTCATGCCGTCCAAAAACAGAAAAACTTGAAGCCAACAAGTGTGATCCTCGCAGTCGCGATCAACAAGCGCAGCGTGGCTCGTTCGGCGACCCCTTCTTTCAAAGCGGCAGGTGGGGTCTCAGCCCGGTGGGCCTCCAGAGTGGCGCGGAAGCTGTTCTTCAGAATCTGAGAAACCGAGAAGATCGAGACTGAGCGACGTGGGAAGGGGTGCTGAAGTGTCCGTTCCCTGCTTCCGAGGGCGAAAAGCACCGAGTTCCTCCTGAAAAGGCTATCCAAGCTCGAACCTTCACTCTGCAGGCGTTTGCCAAGGAAAGGCATGTCTATTCCGCTCTGGTGATGAGTCAAGACATTGGTTCTCTGGCGAAGGCAATACGATCGTTGACATTCGTTGACTCGTTTTTTCAGTACTCCGCAGGCAGTTAGGCTACTGGCAACTACTGGCTAGACCAAACGGGTGTCTGAACGTTGAAAAGAAGCTCCGCAAGCGCCAATGAGAGGCTTCAGCTGGGCCTCTTGAAGCATGAAGCGCAAGTGTTCAGGGACAAAGGAGAGCTGCGTGTCCAGTTCTCCTTCGAGATTCACCTGCAAACCGCGTTTGATGCAAACCACTTCGTTTCTATCGCTTTTGGAGCGGTCTTGGTGTCTTTTTCGTGACCCGGGTGCTTATTGCTTGCGATGGACACCTAACTGTGCTGTGACCACAGTTATTGGATCTTGAATTTTGAGCGGCACTCAAAAGGACCATGGAGAAAGAAGCTACTAGGGGCTCCTGGCATCGCTACTAGGAGCAAGGACGCTACTATTTGTTGCTTATGGGATGGAGAAAGAACATCTCACGCTCTTAGGTTAAAAGGCCTACTCGGTGGACCACGCATTTGGTCCCGAAACCAGTTCCACCACCGAGCGAGCACCTTGGGCCTTCGTCCAAAGAGCTCATCGCACAAATCACCCAGACTCTCTGAGAGCTCGGACACCAACTCCTGGGTGAAGGCGTAAAGGACCAAAAAAGAATCACGCACAGCGGGAGAAAAGCGACACAGTCACAAAGGCTAGTAGGAGCAAAGGGCATCGCTACTAGGAGCAATGACACTACTAGTAGCTCCTGGCATCGCTACTAGTAACAAGGGCATTACTACTAGTATCCAGGATGAAGCCTACGGCCACCGCAAGGCGCACAATGTGCATATGGATCCGGAACTCAAACAGAAGGGGCTACAAGTAACAAGGACGCTATTAGGTGGGCGCTACTAGAATTAAACACCAAGTCAACGATTTGCACCAAGCCGCGCTGGGGCAGCACTTCGGATCAACGACCCCCACAAAGTCATGAGTGGCTCCTCTGATCCGGTGCAAGAATGCTCCGTTCGTAGCGAGGCCAGGAGCCCCGTTTGTAGCGTCCTTGCTCCTAGTAGCGATGCCCTTGTTTCAAATAGCTTCTTGTTACTACTAGTAAGGCACTTGTTACTAGAAGCGATGCACTTGTTCCTAGTAGCTTCTTAGACTGCAAAACTCTGAAGTCGCAGCTTTGAACTTCCCAAGCGCATCCCCGCCCAGAACGCCCTCGTGGAAACTGGCACCAGATTTTCAGTGTTTTTGCGCGCGTGGAAACGCGCGCGTGCGCCCGGGCGGGGGGGAGGTGTAGGCCGCTAGAGGTAGCTAGTGGGAGCTAGGTAGCTACTAGCTACAAGTACGCTCGCACTAATGATTGAGGGAAACTTATTGTTGGAGGCCATCCCTACTAGGGTCGAGGCCATTGCTATCGAGGTTGGAGGCCAATGCTATGGAGGCTGGAGGCCAATTCTATGGAGGTTGGAGGCCATTGCTACTAGGTTGGAGGCCATCGCTATGGAGGTTGGAGGCCATCGCTATGGAGGTTGGAGGCCATTGCTATGGAGGTTGGAGGCAATTGCCATGGAGGTTGGAGGCCATCGCTACTAGGTTGGAGGCCATCGCTACTAGGTTGGAGGCCATCGCTACAAGGTTGGAGGCCATCGCTGTGGAGGTTGGAGGCCAACGCCGCGCTACTAGGTTGGAGGCCATCGCTATGGAGGTTGGAGGCCATTGCTATGGAGGTTGGAGGCCTTCGCTATTAGTTTCCATTGCTTTTACTTAAGTTTTGACTCAAAGGGGCCAGTGAATCTGAAATTGCGATGTTGGTTGCATGGACGTCTGGTTTGCTCCTCTAACACGGCCACTGGTGGCTTCTACTTTCGAACCTTCTAGGTATAGTTACTTCCCAAAACAAAATGGTTTCAACAACGGACAAACCAGAAGTTTTTGGGTCGCAAGTCCTGAGCTCCGTGCTTCATGTACAGCCAGGAAGTGTTCTGCAAGAACACGGTTGCCTCAGTTCTCAACATGAGTTCGGAGTTCCTCCACAAGTTGGATCTTGGTCACAAAACCTCAAGTGCAAAACAATGGCAAAAGACCTTCATGCCGTTTGGGTCAAAACCGGGACACCTGGTAACACGACTTGCGCGCACATTTTTCGTTGGGCTCTCATACATCCCTTGGTACAACAATGGTACCAGGTCTGAAAGGGGTTACCTGGAAGGTTAATTTATGGGTCTTTGGGTTTTAACCCACAGCTATATTGGGCAATGCAAGTATCACTTAAGACTTGAGAGAGCAAAGGATCTTGGGTTTCTGGATGAGAATAGCAAAACAGCTCAACACAGTCGGCCACATAGATGGGAGGAGTCTTGGGCCAGAAGAACAAGACCTATAGAAATCACAAGCTATCAAGCTAATTGCAGCGCGAAAATCAAAACAGGACATGTGATGTGATCAAAACATTAGGGTGAGATAAACAAAGAAAAAGAACTATTATATATATGGGCCAAAACCATGATTCGGGCATTAACACAATCTAGCTGGATATCCTCAAAGTATGACAGAAATCGGAACATGACCGCCAGGGCTCATAACCTCAGCCGACAAGAAATTCGTGCAGATCTTTCCAATGCTCACCGAGTGGCCAATGCGTGTGAAGCAGGTTTGATTCAGAAACTCTTCCAGCTCCACCAAATCCTTGAAACCATGAAAAACATGAAAAAACAACTTCTAGTAGCGTCCTTGCTAGTAGCGAGGCCAGGAGTCCCTAGTAGCGTCCCACTGGAAGTCTTTCTTTCGTCTTGGAGTCTTCGCGAAACTCATGAAGATCCGCAGGCTATGCCGATCTCGGATCTTGTGAAAAAATGGCCTCCAGGAGTGCGTGAAGCTCGGCATAGCCTTCCTGACAATCTTGGCAAAGAATGTTCACCTAGAGTATGTACGGTTACAGTAGATTTCTTGAAGGATAGTCACTCAAAGCCCTCAAAGTCGTTCTGATTTTAAATATGGACAATGAAAATGCCTTTAGATTGCCGGTAGTGTTCAAGTGACTGTGCGAAATGTCAATGCCTTCTTGTTTTTCAGGTTGACTTACACCTGCCACACTCTTGCCATCGATTCCGGGAGCACTCCTGCAACATGTGGATTGTGTTGTCATGCCCTCGCACAAGGCTGCGGAGCATCTTGGCAAACTCCTCCACATCTTTGGCATCCTTCACCTTATGAACACGTCATCCGTGTGGAGGCCATCGCAAGTGGGTTGGAGGTCATCGCTATTAGGTGACAAATCCCATCCTCATAATGGAAATCATGCAGGTCAGCTGGAACGCTTATCACCCCCTGTGTGCCTCCCACCTAGCGATGGCCTTCAATTGATTGCCAAAGTGCTGGAGGAGACTCCACCAACGTCTCGAAGGCATGGAGAAACAAACGGAAGACCTGCTGCATGCTCATGTGTTCGTTCAAAATGGAGCATAAATCCAAAGGTCATGGATTTGATGATGTAGTCCACACATTACACATCTTTGGATGAATGTCTAGTTGGATGTCATTTGGATGTCCGGTTTCCATTGACATCCCAAAAGTGCACGAACCCAAAACTCCGATCTTCCACTGACCCCGTCTCTGACCAAACTTCTTGTTACCGAAGAAGTGTGCCCACCTCTTTTCTTTCCTGTCCTTTTACCCCGAGTTCCACACCTGCACCCTTTGCGTTTTTGTTGCCCGTGGCTCTGCCTCACTTACTCAAGTAGGCGCCTACTTAATTAAAGGAGTGGACGCTCCTAAGCAGGCGCTAAACAAGCTCCTAGCTACTAGGACGGAAATGACTTGGTTCCTGTCGTGTGGAATCCTTTTGGCCTCGTGGAAGCGAGCGTTGCACACGATGACGAAGGGCAGCTGCAGGAAATCCGAAAGCCGATGTGCCAGTCGCACAGGCATCTCCTCTTGGATCCATCGAGCATGTTGGACATGGTGTTCTTCTGACCTCGGTCACGAACGCGATCGCGCCGCATGACGTCAACAAGGGTCGCACGGCGTCGACCTTCGACCTTTAGGGTGCTTCAGGTTCCACAAAATGATAGTAGCTTGCTGGTTCCTAGTAGCGATGCCCTTTGTTACTAGTAGCTTCTTGTTACAAGTAGTAATGCCAGGAGCTACTAGTAGCTTCTTGCTCCTACAAGTTTTTGACACGAGATCTGTGCCTGCACCTTCTCAATGAACAAGGATGAAAAATTGACCACCGAGTCGACCGTCCGCGGGCGCTCAGAAATTCGACCGAGTCGTCGATGACACCCTGAATGATGGAACAACTCGAGACTCCAGCCTATGATTTTGGTGCACGGCTACCCTGTTCGAATGTCCATGGAAAAAAAGAAACAACATGTAAACATATTGTTCTGTACGACTCAATGACATGGAAAAAGTCTTTGTTCCTAGTAGCTTCTTGGAAAATGTCTTTGATTTTTTGAACGCTTCATGCCACCAGGGCACACCGAGGCTGATCTTTCCAAGAGTTGACGGATGGCCACACGTTGGATGGGCAGCCGTGCCAGGCGTTGGATCCGCCGTAAGGAGGGCGGCAACATGGGGATGTTCTGTTCTTTTAACCAGGAGCCCCGTTTGTAGCGTCCTTGCTCCTAGTAGCTTCTTGTTCCTAGTAGCGATGCCAGGAGCCCCTAGTAGCGGCCTTGTTACTACTAGTAAGGCACTTGTTACTAGAAGCGATGCACTTGTTCCTACTAGCGTCCTTGCTCCTAGTAGCGATGCCCTTTGTTCCTAGTAGCTTCTTGCTCCTAGTAGTAAGGCCAGGAGCCCCTAGTAGCGTCCTTGCTCCTAATAGCGATGGCCCCCAACTTACTTTAACCACCATCCAAATGATTGTGGTTCTTGAGATTCATTGGACCTTTGCATCATTTCATGGTACTCCATCAGTTCTTCGCGCATTCTGGGGCAGTCGGCTTTCCATTAGTCAAGTCTCAAAAATGAAAAAGAGTCCGTGTGTCAACTAATTCTTGGGCGGCTATTACTTTGATATAGACGGTTGAAGAACCCCTAGACTTTGAGCTTGTTCTCTTTCTCTTCAGGTTCAAATGCGTTGTCGACATTAAGCCTCATTCTCTTTATGGAAAAAGCCAAATGTCCTCTCAGTGTCTTGCCTTTCGAAAATGCGTGCGAGAGGAGCGATTGAAGCTCCATAAACAAGCAACTTCTGGAACTCACTTGGTGGGACAAACGAGAGTGAAAAGAACAACAGCGGCAGCAAACAAGCATTCTTTCAACAACCAATTCAAGAGCAGGCCAAGGGCAGCCGGAAACCCAGCAAAATCTACCACTTTCGCAAGCATCCCGGTACTTGTTAGCAGGTGTCCTCAAGCTCTTGCTCTTCAATTCCTGAAAGACCTGCGCATGGCATCCGTCGCTTGTGCGCTGGCGCACGGCGATGCATGGAAAACTCGGGGTGCATCGGTGGACGAAGCTCACTCTGTTGACTCTTTCTAAAAAGACCGGTTGGCCCCGCCTCCCTACTTAATCAAGTAGAGGAAGAAAAGAGCTACTAGGCTAAGTTAGCTTCTAGCTAGGATGCAGGATAACTCACGCACTAATGATTTGGTTCCTAGATGTTCAAGTAGAACTTAACTAATAGCGATGCCCTTGTTACTAGTAGCGATGCCCTTGGTACTAGTAAGGAAACTTAACTAAAAGCTTTACAATTCGTCTTTTTGTTACTAGTAGCTATTTGCTACTAGTAGTAAGGCCAGGATCCCCTAGTAGCGTCCTTGCTCCTTGTAGCGATGCCTTTTGCTCCTCCATGAGCGACATCGACTGGGTCGCACAAAGAAGATGACCGCCTCGCCTCCGAAGCATGGTGTCCCAGCACTAGAAGCTGGGCCTGGCGAGTCATTCGCAAACAGAAGAATGTTTCTAATAGCTTCTTGTTACTACTAGTAAGGCACTTGTTACTAGTAGCGATGCACTTGTTACTACTAGCTTTGTATACACCAGGTTCCAAATCTGAACTCCTGAAGCAAAAAGAGCTCGGAAAAACGACGAAGATAACGATGAAAAAGACCTCCGTTTTGGAGAAGAGTGTAGCGAGTCTTACCTGAATCCATGTCACTCACACGAGGATGAAGAAGTTACGCCACCAAATGAAGGAGGAAAAACAACACGTGAAACTTCACCAACATCGCTTTCTGAGAACCCTCCCTGATCCCTCCCACTCCCGGTGGATCGTCGGGTGGTGGATCGTCACCGATCACGTCCGTCCGGGATGTCGATCGTCGGTCGCACCTGAAGGAGCTTCAGAGTTGCTACCGCTCCGCCCTCCCCGTGAGCCGTTCTTGGGCGTGTTCCTGGGTGTGGGCGGACCGTGCTGGCACCAGCATCGGAACATCTGCAAAGTGATGAATTCGCAGAGCGGGAAATTACTGTTCAGAAGTGAGATCACAAAAAGCTGCAACAAGCTCAAACAATAGTTTCCAGGTGAGATGTGACAGCAGAATTTGCCTAACTGGTGTTTAAATACGTCTCCCCCGCGAGAACCTGCTCCCGTGGCTCTGCCACAAGTGTTACCAAGGCTCTGGTCAGATGAGAGAGATGAAATTGGTGCGACCCTCCTGACGAACTCGACGGGCGACCGGACGAGTCAAACCGCGTCCGTTTGGCGTCCGCTTGAAAGAACGGGCCATTCGCATCATTCTCGTAGGAGCAAGGACGCTACTAGGGGCTCCTGGCATTACTAGTAGTAACAAGAAGCTACTAGTAGCAAAGGGCATCGCTACTAGGAGCAAGGACGCTACTAGGAGCGGGCGACTCAGACCAACGGCCCAACTCTTGGAATGACCGAGACCGAAGACACCATCGATGCACCCCAGGCCCCCCCCAAATCCCACGATGTGGAGCGCCATGCCTTCGCGGAGCACCAGTGGAATCGACCTTCTCCATCTGGCGGACCAAAAAAGCAGCGATCCGCATCCAAAGAAGAATGAAAATACAAAAAACATAATTTGATCATAGTTGTTATTGTCATTCGTTATAAATAACAATCAAGAAGCATAAATAGTAATAAACAACAAAACTGAACAAGTGGAAAGAAAAACAAAACAAAACACCGATCTGCACGCAAAAGCCAGCAAGCCCACCGGCCGCACCTTGTCCCCCATGCGCCTTGGCCGGGGCTTCAGCCCTTGGGAGACCTCAGCTTAGACAGCACAGGACAGCAATTGCAAATCCTTTCACAAAGAAACAGTAAGCACGGGAGTGGTTAGATCGATTCTTTGTGTCAGCAAAACTGCTCACCGCTGACTTTTCCCTTGTCGGACAGGGCTGCGGCTGGAGAAATGTGCAAGCCCACGCGCTGAGCGGAGAGCACAACGATCGAATCTTCAGACCCTAGTAGCGTCCTTGTTACTACTAGTAAGGCACTTGTTACTAGAA